TTGAGGTTGAACAAATTCGAAAATGTGGCAACTAAAAATTTTTATATGATTTTGCTTTTTTAAATAATTTTTATTTATGACGTAAAAAATCGAGGAAAAATGTTGGAAATATATTAAATGCTAAATAAATGAAATATATTTCTTTCGTATATATTTTATGACTTTCCACTCCATCCCCAGCTAAGTTTATAAATTATGCCCAGACATACTTGTAGTTTTCACAAGAGTATAGGCCATCATCATTAACTTAGCAAAAAGAAAATAAATAAAATAAAAATGAAACATTTCAGACTTTGTCATTCACTCATATCTCTTCATTTCTTTTCCAGCCTCATTCATTGTAAATTGTTCTTTTCCCAGCTTCTTAATGTCTGGTCAACTTTGTTTTCTTGTCTGTTTTTTCCAATTTATTATTTTTTTTTTATTTATCTGTCATACCAATTTGTCTAAATTTTGATTAATGTCAGCACAAATCTGTAACACTTGGCAAGAACTTTAGCAGATAAGCAGTCGAGCGTACAGAAGACCGACGCACATACATAGATGCATACATACATACATACACATGTACATACATACACAAGTGCCTATTCTTGCCTAGTCCAGATGGCTGCTTTGAGTAAAACACCATGTCCAGTTTCCATAAAACCAGTTGTGGTGGTGTTGCTAGTGTTGCAAGTAGATTTATGGCAGACAATTTGTCTCTCTCTACGCCGTAATTGAGTGAGTGATATACGCAATGTAGTATATATGTATGTATATAAATTGGCCTCCAACTGAATGAGTGTCAACAATGAAGCTTGGAAAACTTATCAACATTATCAACAACAACTTGAAGTGTCTATGTAATTCCTTTCAGTTCACTGGCGCTATCAATGAGTTACCATTCAATGCTGCTCTCGTCGTTGCATTGTAAAAACAAATCAATAAATCAGATTTTGCAAAGAAAATTCTATTGAATGCAAGAATCATTTGATGTCATTTGTCTATTATCCTCACACATACACACACATCAATACATATTTTTCATCCTTTAAAGTGCAGCGGAACTTTTGTACGTTTGATTTCTAAAGCCTCCTCAAAAATACATTCCGTGGGATCGACATTCCTGATCGAGATCTACCTACATATATACATATGACATACAAATATAGTTTGCCATTTTTGGCCGAGCTCGTACTCCGATTTGTGGTGTATATCTTGATGTTTCTCCAACCAAAGGAGGAACCTAAATTCATACTAAACTCGCTCCTCTAGGCACCTTCTATATGAGGGATTAACAAAATTTCAGTCAGTTGGTGACTTTCAATTTGTTTTTATTAAATCTAAAAATACCAAATCCTTTGCCATTTCTTTATAAGTCTTCCTTTCAAATTTTAAAACGATTGGCTAAAATGGAGACGAAAAAATGTAAGATAGCTAAGGTTAGGTCAGACGGTCCAACATCAACCCATACAAAAATTCACCGTGTGATTCTCTTCGAACTTCGGCGTACTTTACAGCCAATACAAATATTAAGTGAAAGCCAAATTGATTTTGGAACGATTGTACCGTTTTTAAAGACTATTTCTAAATGGTGCCGAAGATTCTAGACCGGACGTTTTATCGGTGAGGACGAGCGCCGAAAAGGTCGACCCAAACTTGAAACTTTTTTAGGTGAAGCCAAAAATTTCCGAAGACCCACGAGCGACACAAGAAGTGATTGCTAATAAATTGGGCTTGAATGCCATGGCTGTATCGTGAATATTAAGCAATCATCTGGGATACCTGAAGAAATGCGCTCCAAGGGTATCACGGATTTTAAATGAGGGTGCATTTTGCTCAAATTTTCCTAAACAAATTCGTAAATGGTCAGTCTAGCAACTTTAGTAAAGTCGTCCATGGTGACGAGTCTTGGTTCTATAAGTACGACCCAGAAACCAAACATCAGTCCACGCGATTACGTAGAGAAGATTAAACTGGACAAAAATTAGGAATAAATAGAAAACGACCAGTCCCAACTGGATTAAGCATTTTGCAGCCCTAGAGTTCTTAAGTTCCAAATCGTAGATCGACGCAGTAGTAAAGAAAATTACAGTCAACATCATTTGTGCAAGCAGCTGGACCTCTACACAAGGCCCACTTGATAAAATTTGGTTGATTGCTGAGCTAACATAAAAAGGAACTATGGGAGGGCTTTCAACAAAGACACACGCTTTAATTCCGATAAATGCTAGGATGATTACCAGACTGCATTTTGTATGTATAATTAAAACAAAGGAGCGCCTTTTCTGCAAACAGGTTGATAGTGTTAGCAGTGCGATGAGAATCAAAAAAATTTTGTCGAGGGACCTTGCAGAATGCGCTTATGGTTGACAGTTTTGGGCGCAGTGCCTGAAATTTCGACTCATTTTCCGCAACTTTACACTACGAGACGCCAATCCCCTGAACTGTATGGATGGGATGTGGAACTCTGTTTCGACACTGGAATGATGACAACAGCTTTATACCATTCAAACCAGCCGGTATAGATGGAATCTTTCCTACCCTATTGCAAAATGGATCCCATGCTTTCGAATCCAACTTTACGGAGATGGACACACATGGTTGGGAGAAATTATCAAATCGAGCGAAATGTTTGCAGAAGTATAATTTGGGGTTGCCATGAGCCTACGCTTTGGCTTGGGTGCGTTCAATTGCTCAACCTCCTCCGAAGGTAGGAGATGTTGGCCGTACCAAGACTCTGACCCTGGCTTTCCTAATGCTAACTATTCGACTATCGCGTCCGCCTAGTGAAGCAAAAACAATCACAGGCTCAAGGATGCACAATTATTGTACACTTCGGAAATGATATCTTACCAACTCAGATTTGCTACGTTCCACGACAAGATTTTGGCGAGTTAAATGAATTTAACCAAGTCCATATTAAAGATCTCCAATGAAATCGCCGAAATGGATAGAGCTCAGATCAGCTGAATAACTTTCATAAGATATTTGCACTCAAGATCAATCTGATTCAGTCTAACATTAAATCCACCTTACACGAGAGAGAGAGGAGCTGTTCATACTCATGCTCAACAACATGTTTGAGGCTTGAACCCTTTGACGATTTTCTACCCGTGAAGTAAGTCCAATGAAAATTTTGTCAAGATGTGCGGTCTAAGTGATTGGGGTCATCTAACGCGAAGTCTAGGAAGCAAGCTATTTCGTCGGGTTCGGACTAGAGAGAAAGGGAGGTTAAACGAGTTTCTTTTAGGGAGCATGCAAAGAGGTGGTTAGTATTATACGGGTCTTATTGCATGCAGGACATACGTTGGTTAGGTAGGAGTCTCTTCAACTACAATATCAAGAACTTAGTTGCGCCGGTAGCTCGAGCTCTTCGCTTGCAATAGTTGGTGGTTAGACACCGCGAACGTCATTCACTGGAAGAGAGTTTATGAAGGTATATGGCGTATTTCCTTTCTGCCTGATGCTTTTTAACTCGTAGCACAGATTCCTCGCTATGCAAGTGATGCTTTCGCGACCTCTCACGGTCCTGAGGGCGGGGCTTTAGCAGCCTTATACCATCTTCATCTGTGTTTCGCTAGTCACCGGTGCTCACATCGAAGCTGCAAAATATATTGTCTTATAAGATGGCATCATCGTTTCTTTGCCTTTTCTCTAAGCGCTGCCGGCTAAGGCTTTGAGGATTTTGTAACGGCTCTGGAGTTTTGTGGCAATTTCTGCTGGGTGCAGAGTGTCAACTCCTGACGAAGTAATTCCAAATAACTTAAAGTTGTCCACAGTCAGAGTTTTTACGCCTTACGGTGCGTGTGTTATGCAAGAGAAGCTCTAAAGTCTATGGCGAAGTCGAAGACAGTGGGCTTAACTTTCTTGTCTGTGTCTGAATTTGGTGAATGTTGGTTGAGCAACACCTTAATCTCTGTTCATACCTTCTGTACCAGACTAACAGTAAACTTCAGCTATGGCGGAATTTTTATCGTGCGACTTCATTGACCCGGAACCTTCTAAAAGAGGGTATAACTTCTGCGTGTTACCGACGACCATAGACCAAACTTTACAAGTACGGAGGTACGGAGGCATGGACGATAACTTTATCCAATGAGTCAGCTTTATAATTTTTGAGAGCAAGGTTTTGTGAGAGATGGTTCTCCAAGTACAACCGACGGCGATCAACGAAAATGACGAGCTGTATGAGATATATGACGAAATTGAGGTGGTTTAACAATTCAAGGATAAGGATAAGGAAAGCACACCAGCTTTAAAAGTATTCGACACAGCACCCGCTCAGCTATTGGAAACAGAGGAAGAGAAAAACCGTCGCTCTTTAGAAGGACGAGGTGGTGAGGAACCTGGCCTAACTGGTCGTCTCCATATATGTGCCGATTCGCTAGAAAAATAAACGACTTGTGCGCTATTATTAATTGGGCCATAAACGCATACTCAGTAGGTCTTATATATACATATATATATATAATATAATATTTATATTTGGCACTTTGTAACTGCTGAAGCGATTTTCCGCCGAGCTCCTTCTACAATTTGTAATTTTGCGTCTTGATGACTCTCCTTTTGAGACTTACAGTTTATACTAAGCCGCATACGAACGGCTGATGGTTTTTTTTATGACGGGCTTTTCTTTCATACCAGAAATACACTCGGAGAAGGTGACATTCCCTACCGAGGGGAAAATTTAGCTTAATTTTTTATTTAAATTAATTTATATAACTTTTGTATGTTGGTCGCAAGGGGGTTTGAGCACGAACCTTCCGAATGGTACGTATAAATAATATTTCTTTCTATAAGACAAGACTTAAAAGCACTTTTTAAGAATATTCTATTAATACCACAACGGGCAGCTCCTCACACAACAATATTTTTCCACTTTTACTCCTTTTCAATTATGTATGCATCCACATATGTATGTACGTATGTATGATATGTTTGTACAATATTTCCAATATTCATATTTATAATCTTTGCTTTCCATTACCGTTAATTGCTTTTCGCATACCCCATAGCTACATTCTCTCCCTGGCAATTGCCGACCTACTGCTCATCCTCACCACTGTGCCGCTCACATCGACCGTCTACACCGTGGACTCCTGGCCATGGGGCAGTTTCCTCTGTACACTGTCGGAATTTATTAAAGACGTGTCGATTGGTGTTTCCGTTTTTACACTTACAGCACTCTCTGGTGATCGGTATTTTGCTATAGTGGATCCATTAAGGAAATTTCATGCGCACGGTAAGTATGAAAAACATAAAGAAGGAAAGGGTAGAAAGAGAAAAAACAGCAACACTTTCAATTGTATTTTCATACAAAAAATTTGAAAACTCATACTCACATATATAATTGTTTATATATGTATGTATGTATGTATATAAATATGCTTGTCATCTGCAGGCGGAGGAAAACGTGCCACACGCATGACCATCGCCATTGCCATCTCTATTTGGTTATTGGCCATAATCTGTGCACTACCAGCGCTCATTGGCTCCAATGTGAAGGTGAGTAAATCGTTTGGTGTCAAACGAAAGTCCCAACGGAAGCAAAGGCTTAAAAACAAATATATATTTGTACGTAAATATGTATATATGTACATATGTAAACATTCTATATATGCATAGATGGCCAAAAGTAAATTTTTTGTTTTGTATTTTCTTTTTTCATTTTATGCCCACATTTCTTCGGCATAAACAGAAACTGGAAATCAATAGCAACAAATCATTCGACGTCTGTTACCCTTATCCCGACGAATGGGGCGTAGAATATGCCAAGTCAATGGTGCTAATGCGTTTTCTCGTCTACTATGCCATTCCGCTGTGTATAATTGGCGCTTTCTATGTGTTAATTGCGCGCCACTTGATGTACGCCGCCAGTGTGCCGGGCGAGATGCAAGGAGCTATGCGACAGGTGAGTAGGAAATTACAATGTCATCTTACACCGGAATAATTTCTAGTCAAACTTGATACCCCATTCCCCGAAATGCTAACTAAAGTTGATAATTAAGTAGGAACATTAGCATATTTATGTATATGTGTAAGCACGTGTACGAGTATATGTGTGTATGTATGTAATTCGGTATTATACTGAGAGCTCCAGTTTCTTATTATGCGAATTTTCAGCGGGTGGAGCTGGTCAACAGGCGTCATTAATCATATACCAGTGAGAGTTGATACGCGATACTTGTGAAAACGGTAGGCTATCCGTTGCACAATGGTGTTGATAGATATAAAAATTATTTCTTTTAATTTGCAATTTATAATTGAGGAGAAAAAGTAAATTATTTTAATGGAAAACCACTAAAGGTTTCGTTAAATATTACCGAGAAATCAAGAGAAAGGTCCACTGACCCAACCGTTGACAAGCAGCTCGGCAAATAGAGCTAAGTCCAGACTTAAGACTGACAATATTTCAACCTTCGGAAAATAATAAAAACTGAAATGAAGTTAAATCATTTGCCGGCTTTGGCTAGAAAATCACAAAAAGAAATTTTGTTTAATAAGAGTGCGGAAAGAGAGCGCAGACACCAAGCGGAGGCGATGCTCTTAGCTCACTACGCCAAAAACAGAGTTGTGTGACCCGAAGGAATGTCTGTTGCCTAACCGACTCTGTTTGAAAAAGGATTCACGGCTGGGGTTTATACAGTTTTTGAAATCTGCACCGAAAATGATAAGTCTTCAAATTCAAGCAATATTTGTTTTTGTCATTAACTCCTTTCTGAGTTGTGGCGGTTCCAAGCGCCAAGCTAAGCTTAATACGGAGATTTTTTTATATTTAAGAAAGGGCTACAATACTGCACTTCTTGAAATTGACAAAGAACGAAGCAAACAAGAAGGCTGCAGATATTTAACGGGGGCTGACTATGCTGACAACAACGTAACCACTACAACAACAGCAATAACAACAACAACGTATTCACAACAAACCTGGTAGATCCATAGATTAGTGGTGACAATGCAGCAGACCCTGGCTAAGGAGACTTTGAAGTAGGTTTTCCCTAAATTATTTAATTGCCTGTTCTTTGATCTCCATGGAGAGAAGTTAACCTTTATTTCTAGCTACAGCATTACTTTTATTCTTTCGCATCAAATGAGATTAAAATTCAAATCTAAATACTTCTAGTTAAAGACAGTAAAAGCTCTGAATGAGGTCAATGTTATTAGCAGATCAGCTTCCTGGCACAACTATGATCTAGATATTGTGGTCGACTGAATTCCTACCTATTCAGACTTGACCCCGACATACCCATGTACGTGTCCCTTCAAGATGAGACCATCTTCTTACAAGGCCTCTAAGAATAACTCATCTAATGCCTTCAACCTCCTGTCACTCTAATCCAAACCCGTCGAGACAACTCTCTTCCTAAACATTCTGTTAAATGACATAAACTGATCGTGCCTACTCCTTAGGAAAGCTAGTGAACAACAACAACAACTAAAACAACAACAGATCAGGTAGAAAGCGACGCGATTCTCGCCATGAACAATGGGTCGGGAAGGGGCTGAGGTAATTTGACAGTCAGAAATAACCAGCTCTAATAAAGTTAGCTAGTTATTGTGAGTCTTCTCGACGAATGTTAAAAAACAGTAAGGCAAAAAGAGACTGGAGACTATTCCGAAAACCCCGCGAAGTATTTTCATTGTTTAGCAAACCCAATCTTAGAAAGTCTACCAAATGTAATTGTGCTTCTCCTAATTGCTCTGTCTTTGTATTCAACGCAGAGAACTTTTGGGGTGATCTTAAAATTCGTAAAAAGTCCACTTCCTTCTACATTGGACAGACGCTTAAAAGATTCGACCTTGGCAAAAATAATCTACCAATAATCCTCAAAAGATAGTTAGGGTGAAAAGGGATTAAGAACAGAACTGAACGAGCTCAAAAGCTCAATCATATAAGGTGGAAATGTCTTGTGATAAAAATTATCTTCAGCACCTTTTCTGAGATATTTTTTGTTGTTATAAACCCATTTCTTACGAAGTATTTTTAGCAGCAAAGTTGCTGACCATACAGTTACAGTCACAAGGCTCTAAATAATGTCTACTCTTGTTTCCACATCACGCCTCGGGTCATGGCTGAAAGAGAGAAACCGACATACTCAGTTTATGGGTTCGGTGAAGTCTAAGTGCAACATCTGTTCAACAGAGATGCGAGGGCGAGCGATCATCTGTCCAGAAGCAAACATCTCGCTATATAAATCATCTACCGAGGTTGAACGCTGTATTTGGGAGCTGCAACTTGGAAATCAGCTCCAAAAAAAGCCTTACAATGCCTCAGGTGGGATATCCAACTTTTGACCCTGCCAGTCACTAATCATTCCCATCCTGCTTTGTTGTGCAGAGGGATGACAATGACAACATTTGATGAGTCGGTGTAAGAAATTTGTTCTGAGTAAGATTTATGGTGTTTGGGGTATTGGCAATGGCGAGTGCCATAGTCGACGGAATGATGAGCTGTTCGAGTTACTCGACGGCATTGACATTGTTCAGCATTGTAAATTCCTTTCTGAGTACATTTCTTTTGAAAAGGTTACAACAGTTAATTTGACAAATTTTCGCTGAAAACTTTATGTATAAGCTTTTCGGCCCTCAATTTAACAAACTGGCAACACTGTGCCTTTTAAAAAGTCTTTATGCCAACCACATGCCCACCACTTTCTCTTCATCACTTGTAAATTTGTAAGTGTGACTAATTAAATTACAGTCCCACCCACCATCAGGAGGGGGGGGGGCTACTTTCAAGGGCCGATGATTAATTCATTCAAGAAATTGGAAGTCAATTCCTTACAAAGTTTTAGGTCAAATTTCAAACACCAACAATGTGGGCGGACAAACTGTAAATTTATATATTGTATGTATATATGAACCACAAGCAAGTGATTGAGTGGGAGTTAATTAACGACCCGAGAAGTATGTGGGTTTTGTTTGCATTAAAATGAGATAAGTAAACATTTCAAAATGTCTTAAGTAAACGATTTTTCAAAATGACCCTTATCAAAAAGATGATGTAGTTTTTTCTATTTTTTTAGGCTCTTTAATTTTTTTTTATTTTATATATTTTTCTAATTGGTTGCTAAGCCGAAATAGAAAGAAAGTATATTTCATCCAGTAAGTGGAGGGTGCAAAAATTATTAATCTCATATTTTGAGTGATTCACTGTAGGCTGACCTTAAATAATGTCCCATAACTGTCAGGGAGTGTATACCGAAAACCACAAATTAAAGCAAAATCTCTGAGACATTTTGGTTAGCTTGAAGATTTAGTAATGACTGTGATTTATAACTATGCACTAAGGTGCACAGCCAGAAAAAAAATTTAAAAAATTTAGGTTTATAAAAAAAATATTCATCAGCTAAATCACTCACAAAACTTGGTGCGTGGTCGGGATTATAAAGTGGATGCTTAAGAACCTCGCAACCAATCGGAGTTTCCGGCGACTTACTATCGATGTGCGTGGCCTGACGTTGTCCTGATGAAGCACAAGCTTCCTTCTGGCAGTCTAATTGCTGACAGTACAGGACCGAATTAAGAGTTTGGCCGTAGGAAGGCAGCTCATAGTGGTTAAGTCCTTGAAAATTCCAAAAAAAAAACATCCTGATTGTCAATTCTGCTTTTGCAGGCTCTTTGCCTCTTAACCATAACGGCTTTTTTTGTCCCTTACGGGTCCAGTTTTCATCACCAGTCACCTTGTGCTTAAGAAAATGGTAAATTTTCCTACGATTCAGTGGCGATTAGCTCCTAGGCAAACGAAACGGTACTTGCATGCCGATCAGACTGGACGTTTTCCACTCGGCATGCTACATCGTGAAGCATACTTTCTTTACCAGAACGAAACCGAAGAAAAATTTCTGACAATGGAGATATTTAACTTTCATCCGTAGTACGTTAGTTCCAGTAGGAGAAAAGAGAGACCATCCAAAATGTAGCTGATAGGATCAGAAGATCAGCTAAGTTGATCAAGCCATGTTCTCCTTTTCGTCTGTCTTTGTCTCTGTACATACACTAGTCCCTCAGGTTTTGAGATATTTCAACCAAACTTGGTATACTTTTGCATTGATACATTTAAATGATCTTTTGGTGATCCCTGGCTTGATTGGAACACCATAAATATGATCGAGTTTTCAGATTTGAATTTTTGGATCACAAAGTTTATAGAAAAGTCATTTAAGATCATGCAATTTGGTACTCTTGTAATCTTATAAGAAAAATCACATACTGATAATGTTAGAAGTCAGACAACTATAACATACTCCGCGGCGGCCACGGTGTAGGAGTGGTTAACATTGCGTACTGACATTCGGAAGCCTTGGGTTCTAAGTAAAGCAATGTTGTTGACTAAGAACGGATCGCGATCCCATCTTAAAAGAACGTTAGAAAAGTTATCGAATAACATGAAAACAACAACACAAAATAAGCAACTTGACTTGATTTAACAGCCTAGAAATCGCTTAAATAATACCCAAACTGATTTATAGTGCTACAGGGGAATAAAGGGTAATTTTTTAAGAGCTAAAGGAAAGTTTTTCAAAAAAAAAAAAAAGAACACATGAAATTTAGAAAAATGCATGAAATCTTTATTTGAATCGATTGTATGGGCCGTACTTAATGTTTGAAAATTATTTCATGCATATTTTGACCGTGACTGCGGCTCAAATGGTTCATTCGCTTAGTCCAATTTTAGCATACTCTTTCCAACATTGCTTCAATGTTGTCCTCCGAAACGTCACTGTTTAGACATTGGATTCAACACAGCCCTACAAAAATGGACCAAAGGCTTTAAATCTCACGATCTAGGCGGTCAATTGATCGGTCCCGAACGTGAAATAAAATATTCACCGAGCTCGCCTCTCAATAAGTGCATTGTTGCGCTTCCCGCTGATCTTCACTCCAAAATCGACAATGACCCTAAAATGGAAGAAGCTCGCGATGAACTTTCTTAAAAGAGCACGCATTTTGATAATAAAATTGAATGACTAGCAAACGTTGCTCGTTTGTAAGACGATTCATGGTTAAATTATAGACCAAACTGAAGATGTTTGACAGTGCATCGGCTGTTTAAACCAGTGTTGCTAAAAACATAATAGCTATAAAATCATCCTTTATAAGGGAATTATTATGAAAATAATATATCATTAGACATCAATTTCAGTTGTACTTCAATATCAGAATAAATAGATCAGTAAAACTGCTCCTCAGAGTTTATTAAAAAAAAGTTAAAGCAAAGTCTTCAAGAAATAAACTGGAAATTGCCTATACGGTATGCCATAACCTAATAACCGGTGTAGGCACATCGACTTAATCTGTACAAAAAGTACACACTCACCTTTTTTGTTTTATAACTAAAAAAATTTATTTACAAAATATTTTTCGGATAACTCATTTTGCTCTGATTTCCGCTTAAACATTTCACAATTATACTTTTTTAAATTTTTACAGCTCACATTAGTGTTGTAAAGTAAACGTGAATGATAAGCCAGTTGATAATAATCCAGCTGTGCGTTCATTTGCAGGTCGGATACAAAGGAAAACATCTTTCTTTATTCAAATCAGTCGTCAGTCGTTACATTTTTGAATTTTGTTTTTCTAAGAGAGGGCCATACTAGTATTATTTCGCGTCGTGTTCATTTGCGGCTATATTCATTTCAAAGGTACTGTCATTTCGCGTCGTTTTCAGTAGACGTCATTTCTTTTAGCGTGAACAACAATTTGTTTCATTCATTTGAAAATGTCGAAATTTCTACCAGATAATTTTTTTTTACGGTTAGTTCTTCTTCATTACTTTAACATGAAGAAAAGTGCTACCGAATGCCATCGTATTTTACTGGACGTTTATGGCAACTATGCTTTAGCCGAACGAACGTGCCAAAAGTGGTTTGCACCGCTTAAAAGTGGCAATTTCGACTTAGAGGACGGACAGCCGAAAAAATTTCAAGGCGAAGAATTGAAGACATCGCTCGACACAGATGCATGCCAGACGCAAGAAGAACTTGCAACAATTTTAGGAGTTGATCAAGCAACCGTTTCCAGACGATTAAAATCATTTTTTCACAATATATCTTAATTTTCGAAAAAAAACCGCATGAATTAATGCATACACCCAATAAAATGATTAAAAATCTGCACTAAAAGTTGAAAAATTACGAGTATTAGTAGTAGTTAGTGTGTCTTCATTTTATTGTAAAATAATAAAATTTCTTTCAAATGTTCGTTAAATTCTGACATTTGTTATTGGTTTAAAAACATGAGCTTTTATTTTTAATCTTATTTGTTTATTTTATTTCTTATTTTTATTATATACCCAAGAAAAATCGGCTATATGTCATACAGACGTCGTTGACAATATTTTTGAACAGCTTGTGACTATTTAAATGTATTTTTACTTTTGACAGTTATAAGCTGTCACTTTTAGCTTGCTTAAGAAAAAAAGTACTCGTAATTTTGTTTATATTTGTTTGTTTTTTAATACGAAGCTACAAAAGAACATTTTCGCCATATTTTACTTTATTATTTCCCTAAAGAAAAAATGCAGCGCAGATTGCTAAAAAGCTGCAGAATTTGTATGGCGATAAAGCCTTAAAAACAGCACAGTGTCGAAGCTGGTTTGTCAAATTCCGTCTGAGAGATTTTTCACTCAAAGATAAGCCACGTTCAGGTCGCCCAGGTGAAGTTGAGGATGATGATATCAAGACTTTAAACGAATCGGACCATCCTGTGAGTGAGCGTGAGATTGGTGAGATGTTAAGTCAACCAAAATCAATCGTTCATAATAATCATACTTGACTTCTTGGACTGGTACCACATGAATTGAAAGAAATTCATTTAATAAGCTACTTCAATGCTTGCGATATGCATCTTAAGCGCAATGAATATGAACCGTTTTTGAAGCAAATCACAACTGGAGATGAAAAATGGATTGCATCACAATAACGTCGATCGAAAACGATAAAGGCTAAAGCTTGTTGAAGCGTCACAAACCACTTCAAAGGCTGATATTCAACAACAGAAGATTATGTTGTTAGTTTGATGGGAATGGAAGGGTGTGGTATATTTTGAGCTAATTCTTAGGAACCAAGCTATTAACTCGGATGTCTGCTGAGAACAACTGGACAACGAGAAGCGGCCAGAATTAGTCAATTGTAAAGGTATCATACTTCATCAGCACAATACTAGACTCAGACATCTTTGGTCACTCACCAAAAATTGAGAGAGCTTAGCTGGGAACTGTTAATGCATCCACCATATAGCCCTGACTTTGCACCGTTAGACTACCATTTGCTTCGATCTTGGCAGAACTCGTTAAATGGTAAACCTTTCAAAAATGACGAGGCTATAAACTCCCACTTGTTTAAGATTTTTGCAGATAAAGGCCAGATGTTGCCGGAAAATATGGCGAGAGGTCATCAAACAAAATGGAAATTACATAATTGATTAAAGTTCAATATAAAACTAAAAAAAATTGCCGATTTCTCTTCTTCCTTTCATTCGTTATTATATTAAAAATTAAAATTTTTCATGTATCAGAGCTACATATCAACTTATTTTTTTTTCACGCAAAATCTTGTATAAACACTCAATATCTTTCATAAAAAAATTAGGTCCAGCGCAATTACGCTCACTTCTTTTGCTCTAGTTCACAACCTTTCTTACGGTGGTTTTAAATTCTTTTTGTTTACATATTTCCCAACTCTTTTCCGTTTCGTTGCAGGTTCACGCACGCAGAAAGGTTGCAGTAACGGTGTTAGCATTCGTGGTTATATTTGGCATCTGCTTTTTGCCCTATCACGTCTTCATGCTTTGGTTCTATTACTGGTAAGTGCCGGCAAACAAAAGTAAAAGTATTAAAATAAAATAAATTTATAAATAACCTATTGCAATACAACAAAACTATTCTACGAATTTGTAGTCAATACATAAATACTTATGCACATATAAGAGTACGCTAGCAAATTGTTCTCCTCACAGTACAGTCGTGGGCATAAGTTTAGCACACATCGCTTTTGGATTTTATTTCATTTTGAACTTAGGATTTCTTTGATTTTGATAAGGATATAAGATTCTTCTTACCATATCAAATTGTTCTTCATTCACGAGAATATTTTTAAGAACTCTGTAATGAAGCAAAAGACTTGAGCGTAGAATGTCTTAAGTCACAGACGCGGTTTTGAAGCAAAAATAAAACGCAAATAATTCAATGTTATGATAAAGAATTAATATTTATTATGAAGATAAGGGTTTGCCATTATGTTTTAAAGATAATTCCGGACAAGTGGCGAACAAATTTCCAGCTAAGAGGACCAATTGTCGACCCTTTTTTTGCAGCAATTGCGGCCGTATGTCAGCATAAATGCGCCGAATGTTATCTTCCAAGGCGTCAATCATCTTAGGCTTACCTGAGCAAACAAGTGAGTCTACACACATTAGTGAAATAACCACATAAAAATAGTCCACCGATGCTAAATCACAAGATCTTTGAGACCACCATAGGCCCACGTCGCGGGATAATGCGATCCCTAAAAATGTCTTCCAATAAATTGATTGTTTCGTTGCCTGTATGGCAAATAGCGTCGTCTTTTTGATAACCAAAGTTCGTCCATATCAACAATTCAGGCATGTCAAGTCATCGTTCATGGCTCTATAGTGTTCCTCAAGGCTTAATTTTCGAAGAAATATGCACCAGTGATTCACTCTGCATATTGCAAGCACTAAACTGTGACTTTTCGACTATACAACGGTGTTTCAATAATGGTTTGTGCATTAACATCACTCCAAAATTAAATTTTTTTTTAATAAATTTCCTTTTTCCACCAAAAGAGAGTTTCAATGATGTACCAAATTTTTTTGTAAAAAGCGATTGGTGACCATCTCAATTTAAGCCAATACACCGAATGTGCGATGCCCTGTATGGTCGTTCGGCTTTGAGTTGGGTTTTTTAGCCGGCAAACCATTATCCTTGCGTAAAATCTTCCATTAGGAAGATGGGCACAGAGCTCCGTGAAAGAATATACACTAGGCATTTTTCTCGATATTAAAGGGGCTTCTAACAACATTCTCCCTCTCCATTCTCCCTCTCTAGCAGTATCTTCGGAGAAAGAGGACCATCTTCGCATAGATGGGCAATGCCAGCGTTGCCAGGCACACAGCTAGAGGCATCTCTCAAGGTGGAGTTTTGCCGCCACTGCTCTGATTAGGAGACTGCGCGTTGTGGCGTTGTGGCATACACTGACGACTTTGCCCTGATAGCGGCAGGCAAACACCCACAAACATTAAGCGATTTACTCCAAAATGCTCTTTGTATAGTTGAGGGATGGTTCAGACATAGCGGGCTGGACGTGAACCCTGATAAAACCGAGATGGTTTCATTCACCAGGAGGTACAAACCGCATACCTTTGAACCACCCAAACTAAAGGGCGTGGAGATTACACTCTCTCCCGAAGTCAAATACCTTGGAATAATCTTAGATACCAAACTAAACTGAAGACGGAACACGACAGAAAGATCAAGAAAAGCTTTAACTGCACTCTACGCCTGCAAAACGGCGATAGGAAAGAGATGGGGCCTAAAACCGAGTATAGTGAATTGGATATACACACCGATAGTTAAACCAATTCTATTCTACGGAGTCACCGTCTGGTGACTGGCACTCGAGAAAATCACCTTTAGAAGCAAATAAGAGAGAGTTCAATGATCGGCATCCATCCTGATAACATGAACTTTGCCATCAACTCTCTCGAAAGCTAGCACTGCTAACTTTCCTCAACCTCTCGCCTCTGGACCTATACGGGAAACTACAAGCGGGTTGCTACGCAATAAAATTGAATGCAACTTAACCTCGAAAGATTTGCAGTATAGGACATACAAAAATATTATCTCTTAAAGAAGTGCCGAAGGTGCTGGACCACACCATCTCCAGTGTATGGTTCGATAATCTTTTCTCCATAAGAATCGCAAGTGGGAAAACACCAACGGCACCGACCAGGTGATGGGAGGGTGTGTTAGGAACTTTATTTTCCCGAGCTTTGAGTAAGCAAGCGCATGAGAATACAGAATAATTGCAGGTACCTTTGACGTGGTAGAGTGACCATAAATTGTAGAAACACTCTCAACAATCTCTCAACGAAGTACAGTACTGCCATGGTCTGAGTATCTGGACACAGGGACATCCCATACAAATGCATGGCAGACGAACTCGCAATTAAACACATACATGATGCTGGTTTACCTCTAATTGACCTTCAACAGAGAAGCTGACTCCCGATGGTTGAACGAGATCACGTGTAAGGTAACCAGATCGCTATGGCCGAAGTTGGACCCGAAAAAATCTGGACATCTTATCCTTCTGGACCCGTTCTCCATTAGCATAGCGACGGGTATAATAACTGGACACTGTTTATAGGGGCTTCACGGGATTAGGATGGGCTTTTACTCTAACGATTTCTGCCGCGGCTGTAGGGCCAAGGAAGAGGAGAAGACCATCAAGCACTACCTCTGCCACCGTCTAGCCTATTTCATAAATTCCTGACTCTTAACTAAAACAAAACATGTTTTGTTTGACATTTAAGTTGAGACAGATATCAAAATACAATGCTGTGCTTTTAACACCCCAGAATGGACTACCGTAAATAAATAGAGACTTAAAATTATTTTTTTTTTGTGATAGAAAAATTAAATCTCAACGAAGAAAGTACAAACGAGAGTTTTTTTATTTTCTTTTTTCCTTTTACCTTCTTCTTCTTTCTTCTTTAGTGATTTAGAAGAAACAAAAAAAATTATTTGCTTTACTATTTTCCATTTTATTTGGTTACAGGGCATTGGGTTGTGAGCTGGAAACATTCTAACCTCAAATAACGAGTTTTAAAATTTTATTTATTTTTATCCATTGCTTGGATGTGTGCTAAACTTTCACCTAATACCGTATTTAGCATATACATTTAAAGTACTAATAAATAATATAATACTCATGTATAAAGTCAAGGCCTAAAAAGTTCATTCGGTTTTTATCAAAGAGTTGGCGTTATTGTCCATAATACTAGTGTTACGTGAGCGCAAACGGTCGTGGTCAAAGCTCCGGGAAGCGGTCCAGACGATGACCAAGACCGGATTGACAGCCAGGATGGTTTTACTGTGTATTTGTTGGGATTGGCAAGGAAACATTAACTACGAGCTGCTCCCCTATGAGCAAAAGCTCAATTCGGTTCTCTACTGCCAATAAATGGACCGCTTGAGGGCAGTACTCATCCAAAAGAGGCCATCTTTGATCATCAGAGGTCAAATTATGTTCCATCAAAACACCGCGAGGCCACACACGCATTTGATGACGCGCCAGAAGCTCCAGGAGCTCGTATAGGAGGTCCTAATGCACCCACCTTATAGTCCGAATCCGGCACCAAGTGATTACCACCATTTCCTGTCCATGGCGAACGTGCTTGATGGTAAGAAGTTGGCCTCAAGAGAGGTCTGTGAAAAATGGCTCACCGAGTTTTTTGCCAATAGGGGCGCGGTTTTCTACGAGAGAGGTATAATGAAGTTGACATCTTGTTGGCAACAAGTTTACGAATAAATCGGCGCATATTTGACTTAAATCGGATATGTGTACATTGGTAAGATATCATATTTTAAAATATCAATAAAAAAAACCGAACGAACTTTTTACTTGACCTGTATACATACTCGTATGTGTATGTACATATTTCTAACTTTGTCCTTTGTGGCAAACATTCTGCATACCTCTAACATATATATATATATATATATATATATATATATATATATATAAATATTAATATCCACTAACGTCTTCTCTTTGATTTCTCTTTCATTTATTTCTCTTCGTCAACAAAATCATCATGATTATTTCTGCATTTTTAAAGGCCCACCGCACAGGATGACTACAACTCCTTCTGGCACGTTTTACGCATCGTCGGTTTTTGCTTATCCTTTGCCAACAGCTGCGCCAATCCGGTGGCTTTGTATTTTGTTAGTGGCGCCTTCCGCAAACATTTCAATAGGTATTTGTTTATTCACTACAATGCTGACGCATGACATACAAGCGCCTCCTGCCCAAACGGGGTAAGGAAGTTGCACAGAATACTTGTACTATGAATTTAAAAAAAGCCGAAAACAAAAAAAAAAAATAAAAAAATAAAATGAAACGTAAATCCAATATAAATCAAAGATATTCGATTAGAAAAGGATAAAAATAGCACAACATAAACAAAAAAAAAAAGGAATTTAAAAAAGTATAAGCGAATATCGAAATTAGAAAAAAATGAAAATATGTGAAGCATGCAAATCGATCTCCTGCCATAAATTTACATATGTACATACAAACATTTCCGAAACAACCGGCATACATTTGGACATACATATGTAGATATATATACATACATGCTTAGTTTACTGTATCTCTAGAAAGCTTACCATGATTGCTCCCTACAAGGTCACACTCGCCCAGCTTACCTATGGCCTATTTGAGTACTGTTATTTACTTTCGTTTGGCTTTGGATAGACATTTTTATTGGCGAACAAATCATATTGTTATGTAAGATTTACTACTTATAGTCTCAAGTGTGTATTATAGAAATTTATATTATTTTTAAAGCACTGCATTCCACACGTGCACTTACATACATATAGTACATATGAGTACATCGTCGTTATTCATTTCAGCAAAGCACTTAATTCAGAGATATTTAGGGTTCACAAAAACCTTCCCACCGACCGACCGACCGACCGCTTCTTCAAGGATGATACTAAATTAAACCTCGCTGTCTACGCTTCCTTCCTACAACTATTGCTCTAACGGTACTGCAAATCGAAGATAATTCTCAAATGCGCTTGAACAAGCAAAGAGGTCTTTCTTTCCGCCATTCGCTTCTTTATTCCGCCGTTTGGTGTCGGTTGGAGTGGAGGTCTTCAAGATCTACTTTATAGAGAGAAAACTTTACGTTTCAATTTCCTACTCAGTCCTTAGCTACTCAGCACAAAGAGTGTTATCCAAGAGTTCTTGCTTTGATATTAAATAAACAATCTTATATTTTGAGTTAAATAATCGGATGTTTAGTTCAATGTAAAGAGAAAGATATGCCAATAATAATGGAAAACAGTATCAGCCTAATCGCCGCCACGGTTATGCTAACCGGACCGCATCCATTTTATGAAAATTGTCCATCACCAAATCGTAAGGCGGCTGCTGTATGCCCTCAATATATAAATATTATACATATAATTGGCGCTTTATAACCGCTGAAGCAATTTTTCGACCGGAACCTACAGTTTTCACTAAGCCGCCGAACGGCTGATGGTTTTTTATGAGGAGCTTTATTTCATATCAGAAATACACTCGGAGGGGTTGACATTCCATGCCGAGGGGCGACCGCAATTAGAAACTTTAGCTTAATTTTTTATTTAAATTAGTTTTCGATAATTTTAGCTAGTTGATCGCACCATGAGTTGCCATTACGAAGGGCAGTATGCAATGCTTACAACTCGGCTACCGCGGCCGCCTCCATAGCCTCACGAATTCCATCTTTGAAGTCTTGAATCGACATTGACTTATTGGCATAAATCTTATCTTCCACGTGGTCTCTAAGGTAGAAGTCGTAAGGTGTTAAATCACAAGATCTGGTTGGTCAATTGCGAACAGCTCTTCCAAAGATAACACGGTCCGGAAACTTTTACCTTAAAAGATCGCTTCCTTGCTTGTGTGGCACGTTGCGTCGTCTTGTCGAAAGTAAACGTTATCTAGATTAATACCATTTCATGCCGGCCAAAAACTATCATTAATCGTATAAAGCAATGAGAAAGATCCAAGGACTCTGCCGGACCATAAACCTCACCAAACAGTTGCGGCTGGAGAGGATGGAGCTACTTTTCAACAAAAAATATTGGGTTTTTCGAGCCCCACGCTCTGCTTATTGACGTAGCCATCGAGGTGGAAATGGGCCTCAGCAGTCGTTTCCTTATATAATCTAGATAAACCAGCTATTAAGGCAGATGCTGTCTATATCACTTAGATTATACCTTTTCTGTTTAGCCCGGCAGCCCGTATCATATTTTCGAGCATTAAATCAAAGAAGTCAGACGATAAAGCGTTACCCTGGCTGAAACTTCTTAGAGTACCGAACGGATCGGAGAAGTTCTTCTCGATCCTGATGGTGTTGCTTGACGTTAGCTTCCACAGCCGTATAAATTTTGCGGTCATCAGATTTACATAGATATATGGCGGCGTAGAAGCTGCCATAAAATCGATGAAAATGTGGTGTGTGTGATCACCTTTTCACGGGTCTTTTCAAAGATGAATATATGATCGACAGTAGACTTTCAAGATCTGAAACCATGCTGATGAGGTTCAATCAGTTTGTGAAGATGGGCTTTAGGCTTTCACACAATACGCTCTATAAAACCCTTCAAGCGTAATTTAGGCGAGCTATCCCATGAGAAATTTCGTAAGTTGTTAGTTAAGTTCCGATCGTCAGGCATGCTTTCATTCGTCATGTTAGTCTCACCGGAAATATTACTTTTTGAATTTCGCAAACCTTTTCTGGAAGAGGAAATGCCTCTTAAGCCCTTGGAGAAACCTATTTTATTTGCCTCGTAACGTTATTTATGGAGAGCCAATAATATATTGCACATTTTTACACTCGCATTTACTGAAAGGATATAGAGAGAGATCAAGTTACACCCAATATAAACGAAGACTTCGAACTATCTTCTGAGATTCGCATGACTGATATATTTTATGTCGTCATATATACCATACTAGATTAAACTCTTACATGTTTCTACATCACCCACCTAACGTGTATTCCTCTTTTTCTACTAGTCCTAGCTCCCACGCACAATTACTGTCGATAGTGCTGCTAGGACCATAAAGATCTATAATAGCACGAACAAGATTAGGTGAGACGCATTTCCGGACTATCGTCCGTACAAAAAGTCTGCTCATATTTTAGTAGGGATAGGAATCAACAGACTTCCATACCACTGCCGCGCTTATGATTTGACCGTGGATGAGTCGCTTTTACTGAAAAAAAAGTAATGATTTTGTAGCTACTAATTATTGGCACTCCATGTATATGTTGATAGTGAACAACTCTGCGCAGAATTATGGCCCATCCTAGACCAATATCGTCCCTCGATGGGATATGTCAACCCTTAGGTACGTATTTATGACAAAAAATAATCACTTTTAACAAAAATCCCTCAGCAGTTAGAAAGTGGCGTCTCTTTGTAGGAAATTATTAGGGAGAAAAAAAATTGCCGAGGAAGGCTCTAAAACGAACCCCACTTAAGGGGTTAAAAAGTGCTGAGTCCATTTAGGACCGCTAGATCTGTCATATCTTTAACATCTTCAATAATTCTGTCCTTTATCATGAGAACCACATTAGTTCGCTGGTTCTATGTGTACTTAAATGAAGATCTCTCTGTACACCAATGTGCCAAAAAAATGGCAATAGTCTTTAAAATTGTTCCAAGTTCAAACCTCCTTAAGAGTGATGTTTAGTGATGCGATTTTCGGCCGAGGTTCAAGCTCCTGCTGTAATTTGTGGTATCCTTCTTGATGTTTTTTCTAACAAATAGAGGAACTTACAGTTTATTCTAAGCCTTTATGCCGAGGGGCGGCTGCAATTAGAAAAATGAGTTTTAATTAATTTCGGATGTTGGTCGTACCAGCACTCAAGCCCTAGTCTTCAGAATGGCAGTACGCAATGCTAACCACTCGGCTATATCGGACGAATGTATGATTTGAAATAATTATGGTTATTTTTGTATAAAGATTTTTATGATCAGCCCAATCTCTTAGTCGCCAAAGTCGGATTATGTAGCACACAGCAGTATGATAATATTAAGCCCAAGGAACGTGAAGAGTTTAAGCGATTTGGAGTTGGGATTAAAGCATTTTGGAAATCAAAAATTGTTTCTGTCCCTAAACCTTGAAGAGTATATTCCATGAGACGGTCAAAAAACGCCTCCAAATTTTTTTAATCACAAACTTGTGGCTTCTTAGGCCGAGGGTTTCGTGTAACGTTTAACGCCCGAAGAGCAACGTGGTCTTCTTGGAGGGGAATAAGGAATCTACTAGACCACTGGAGTGACTGCATTTACGAGTAGTAAAAAATTAGGAAGAGAAAAAGTCAAGCTTCGTAGGGAAAAAATAAAACTTACTTACTTTCACAACGCCTCCACACCACGCTGTGGTATCCACTTGACGCACTACATGCTTGCACTTTGCCCGAAAAAAAATTTAGATAAATTTTGTTACTTAAAGCTTACACATACACACATATATACAACGTACTGTCATAAACTTTCAACCGGCGAATGCATTCAACATGTTTATTTGACTTTCATTTCACTTTTTTTTTACAAATTCCCTTTCTGCTTTTTATTTGCTGCTCTTTTTCCACGTATTTCACCAACTTTTTCTAGATACTTGTTTTGTCAAGGGTCCGGTGCGCGGCTCAAAAAACGACACCCACACAACGATACGCTCTGCATGCATCGCGATGCCTCGCTCACTAGCACCGCTTCGAAACGTTATTACTCATCAACGCGCCGTTCGACGTGCCATCATCACAACAGCACCATACGAAGGTGAGTGGTTTAAAAGAGTGCGAATACTTGGTTCTCACATACATACATCCATACCTTAGTATGCATGTGGAGAGAGGTGGGTGGTTGTATGCCTTACAGTGAATTAAATCCCATTCTGCTTTATTTGAAACTCTACTACATTTGATTGTAACGTAAAATCGGATTTCGCAGACAACTTGATTTACTGTGGGGCGACTGAGTATATAAGTGAATTAGGGCAGCGCCAATTTATTTGAATACAGTAACTGACGGAAATGTTCTTGTGTATGCTTGAAAAATACAAAAAACGATATTTAATAGTTTTTGTTTTTTGTTTAGCTAACAAAAACATTCGATATAAACTTTCTTCTGGTAGAAAAAAAAATTATAAAATTTTTCAAATACCTTTTTAAAATTTATGGCCAAGTTCTCGCTGGGCTAGATGTATTTTAAAATTATCACTAACATAGAACGGCCCTTGGATTTTTAACGAACGAACGAACGGAAGTACACTCGGAGGCTAAATATTCCCTGCCGAGGAGCGACCTCAATTAGAAAAATTACTTTTTTTTAATTTTGAATGTTGAAGAGTAATCAGGCGACCATATATCGTCCCATATCCGCAATCAGATACATCGTGATCTTTTAATATTCTTCCTTGACCTGGCTTCTCGAACAGCAAATGTTCCCATGATACCAACATATTAGCGAGTTCTCACCTTGAAAGAATCTGCCGGACTCTGCATGCAATCCCCTGTATATATCAATTTTTATCTTTGGCGCTATTGGGATGGGATTAGTAAAACCTGCTGTATTATTTTTTAACAGCACAGCTAATGCATGGACGAAACTTTTTCCACTTAAGTTACTCAACGGTCTGTTCACCTTAAGGCTAGTAGCATCGGGTGGTGTCTAAAGGAGCATGTGCCTTCTTAAACACAAAATTCACAGTACCAGCTTATTAGAGGATTATTGATTTTAATAGTTGCCAGACACCTAACATTTTCACCGCCTCATATAATCTAAATCGAAGTCGCCTTTACTTCTCTATGTTGTAGTTGTCTGGTGGCCAACACTCAGGAGGACTTTAACCACCTTCAAATATCAAAAAATCCAAAGAACGGCACTCTTTTGGATTGGTAAAGCTTTGTGGTCCACCGAATGAGGTTATAGATATCCTTTTGGGTCTATTCCCCATTGACTTTATGAGGATCCATAACCCAACTTCTACTGCGGTACAAACATTGTCTGAATTAAAGCTGATGAAATACGGTGATGCCAATATAATAAGAAGTTTCTGTTTATCAGATTGGACCGATTACAGCAGAAATTTCACAGATTCTACAAATTATCACAAGAAGGTTATTCTGGATAGGTACCATTGGGACATACGTATATAAAATATTATATATCTTCTCGTATAGCTAGGTAGCAGTATTAGCTCAGGAATCAGTCAAAACAAAATCTGAAACGGTAATAAATTGTCGCAAGCCACTAAGCATGATGACTAAGCCGATCCCTCTGTATCTGGAAGGGCTGCCAGATTAATGTAGCCTACCGATAACAAGATACTGGACCAACAGGGAATTGCACTTCTCTTCCACTTTTGTCATTATTAAAGAGTTTAAGTTTACTATCGGAGATTTTTTTTCATCTTAGCATCAGTGATAAGATTGTAGAGTTCCCATTGTTGCAGAATGACTAGGATAATGTGGTAAGCATTACCACTATACGAGCGGTAAGCATTGCGTACTGCCATTTCAAGTCCTGGTTCTTCCAACATTCGAAATTAATTTTTCTAATTGCCGTCAACTCTAAACTGGGAATCTCAACTCCTCTAACTGTATTTCTGACATCTAATCAGAGCTATTTATAAAAACATAAAAATCCATGGACCGTTCGAAGTTTGCGGAGAGTAACCCGTGGGTTCCTTCATATTGTTGGAAGACATCAAAACTGTAGTGCCTGATAGGACTAATAGTCTCCTCAGTGTTATCCTAATGGGTCCGAATAAAACTAGGTTGAGTCAGTCGAAACTTATCTGGATTTCTTTCATTAACAGCTTTCAGTTTGACCTCTTTGAGACTAGTGTAAACCTAAAAAGTTTGCACATACCCTATTTTACAACCCTTGACTCGCTCGCTACACCTATTGGCCTAACGATGCTAAAGCTCTTCTTTTGCGTACTTGACTTGTCAGAATAGGTTCAATGCTTTGTCCTGTTCAGTTTAACATCCATCTTCCTTCGATGCTCATTTTCTCAATCTTCCGTCTATCAATCTTCTGGCTGCACCTTTACAAATCGCAACGACTTCCGAGTTCAAGTGAACGAAACTTGGTAAGCACGGTTTTCACAAAAATGTCTGCGTCCTTCTTTTTGCTAATATGATCCTTCTACACATGGTCTTCCCAGCGTAGTGTATGTTTTCCTCTTTTTCTGCTTCCACCTTCGTGTATTGCATCCACAATGTTCAAAACTGGAGTGGTTTTATCCAGATATAATCATCGTCCAAGCCTCCGCACCAAAGAGCAGGGCGGTAAAGAAGATCCACTTGTAGAGTTTGGCCTTTGTGCGTTGCGAGACGTAGTCTAAAGTTGCATTTCAAGGCTGACATTATTAATGATTTTAATGCTGGTTCCCAGATAGACGGAATCGTCTACAACCTCAAAGTTATGATTGTCAATAGTGACGTGTGTGTCGAGTCTCGAATGTGATGACTGTTTGTTTGATGACTGGAGATATTTTGTCTTGCTCTCATTCACTCCCAGACACGTAAGCTTCGCTTTCGGTAGTCTAGAGAAAGCAGAACTCAGGGTACGATTGTTGTCAATATCATCAGCGTACGCCAGCAGCTGTATACTTTTATAGAAGGTTCTATAAGGAGTAACCTTGTTTGAAACCTCGAATGGTATCGAGCGATTTGGAGAGGCCCTTTCTTATCCAAGCGCAGATTTCGGCGTAAGTTTTGTGAGGATACAATGTTGGACATAGCAGCGTAGTTGCAGCTTCTTTTGGTGTTGTTGAAGGTTGATAATACATCGGCTTCTGTCATTTTGTTGTTTTTTAAGCGGGCGATTGTTATTCGAGCATCTTCATAGTGACGCAATGAATCATTTGTTCCAACGTCATCGATTGGTGAAACGGACACGCCATATCATGTTGTTCGATTGTTTATCATTCTGCAAGCTGTAAAAGTGTCCCCTCCATAATTATAATTACAGCTATATGCCCTCTCTACATCCTATAATAGTTTGGTCTGGTATTGAAATCTGCTATAAGTCGGCCAGTTCCCAATTGATTAGAAATCTCTGACCTGTTTTATTTAATGCTTCCTAGTAATTAACTCCTACATATGTCGCTGATACCATTTCACAGCAACAAACATTTGATCGCTTCCGTCAGTCACTGTACCAAGCAAAATTCAACAGTTTTTACAGCCTAAAAGTATGCCACATTTCATGAGTGTGAGCTTAAAAAAAAAATCCATTTTATTTTTATTTACTTTCATCAACTACAAATCCTCCACTACCACCATATACATACACACCGTTATATTGCATGAACTATATACATACATATGTACATGCTGCAGTCGCCTACAAGAGACCACCATCACAATGGTAGCGAATGGCAGTCAAAATGGCGGCCCACTCACCGATGTCTCCGACATTGCATTAGCCAGTGAATTGTGCGATCACACGCAACACTACCACCAACAGCAGCAGCAGCCGGCAAACCCGCATCAGCAACACTATCTTCAGTTGTCACTTATGTGAGGTAGTCGACGATGGGGATGCTGCCAACAGTCGCAGGCGACAACAAATAGAGCATCGCCCGAAGTACAAACTACAACCACAAAACAACTACAAACTACAACAGCAATGTCAGCAGCTGGTACTTCGTATACGAATGATGAATTTTCAACAATGCCAGCAACAACAACAACAACAACCAACAATTCAACGTTGATAAACTTAGCGAGTGCAGAAAGTTCGAGTATCGAGATGCGCGATTTAAATGCACCGAAAGCGAAATTCCATAGAAATGCAAAAAGTATAAAATCCCTACAGTGTGAGGGTCAACACCAACTACAAAAACAACACCACCAACAACAAAACCAACGGCATTCAATGACACAGCCAGCACAACAACAACGACGCATACATTTTCACATTGTTGGCTGTGCGCAAATTTGAAGTGATGACAACGGAAAAGAAGAAGAATTCCAGTTTAAGAAGCTCGCGGAAAAGAATTTAAATACGGAAAATGCAGGCAATGGGTTTTAAATAACATTTTCTTGAGGCAGAAATTTTTATGCAAATTGTATATAAACCTAAAAAAGAAATTTATTAAACAAAAGTAAATTATAAATTTTTATAGTTTTTCTTGGCAACAACGATTATAGTAAAACAAAAACAAATCAAACATAAGACAAACCAAAAATAAAAATAAAAAAAATTAGCGTGTAAAGGAAATTCGAAGAAAAATTTTGAAATTTTATTGAAGTATACTTTATATATTTTTCAACAATTTCAGTGTTAATGTATGTATGCACAAATGTGCTTAGATTAAGTCACTTACTTACGTTAATTTATGTGTGGGCGAGAGTGCAGGGTTATCCATTTTGCGGCTTTGAAAATAAACTTAAATCAAATGCATTTAAAATATATTTTCTTTTTTCTCAGGAAAATCCTTTCACAAAGGGTGATCCATTTCCATACTCCCTACTCTTTTCTTTTTTAAAATAAAAATCCACAGAAAGTTCATATTAAATGGGGAATTTTTATTATCATTCGAAGTCAAATGTTGGCCGTGGCTACGTCTCAGATAGTCCATCCGTTGAGTCTAATTTTCGTTGACTCGTTCGAACATTTAGACTAGTAGCCGGCGAAGGACTCGCATGATATTTTGCGCCAAATCTTAAATCCAAGCGAGTTTGACCGCATAGACTTCAATCATTACATATTCCCACAAGAAAAAGTCTTACGGTGTGATATCATGCGATTTTGGTGGCCAATCGACCGTTCCGAAATGTGAAATTACCTGCTCATCGCATTGTTCTGTCAATAAATCCATGGATTGATGCGATATGTGGGATGTGGCGCCGTCTTGTTAAAATCAAATATCGCCGAGATCACGAGCTTTAATTTCAAGTGTCAAATAATCGGTTACCATTGTGCGATGGCGGTCGCTATTAACAGTTACGTTCTCACCGGCATGATTACACCGACCCACACACCACACCAAACCGTTGTTTTTTCTCGATAAAATGACAACTCTTGCACCTCTTCAGGCTACTCCTCTTCCCAAACGTAGCAATTTTGGCGATTACATACCCATTGAGCCAGAAATGAGTCTGATCGCTGAACAAATTTTGGTCCGAAGACGTCGGATCTTCTTGGAACTTTGCAAGAGCCCATAAAGCGAAGAGTTCTACCCCTACTTGGATCAGCCGTCATTATAAAGTTTGACTTTCCTTCGCGTAGCTCTGCAAAATAAGAACATCGGTATCTATTCGCAAGTTTTCGTTGACCAAATTGACATCGCCAAGACGAGAGATTACACAGCCGGGAAATATCTCTGGCTATAAAGCCATATTCGCTTGTGTTGTATGACACCGTCTTGTTAAAATCCTCCAAATCGACTGTGACTATCTCGGCTCTGCCGTTTTCAAGGAATTATGGTCCAATCACACATCTGAGTCAAAGAATGCACCAGACTATCGGTTCTTTGGAGTGTTATGACCTCTCTTTAATTAGTTGAGAATTCTCTGGGCCCCAAACGTGCTTTCATACGTACCCCACAAGTGAGAAATGTGTCTTGTCGTTGAAGAAAAGTTTGTTCGAAAAATCGCCGTCCACTGTTTGTTGTTCAAGCAGCCAATCGGCGTTGTGAATGGTCAGTCGGCTTCAGTTGTTGTGTGAGCTGGACTTTATGTGCATATAAATGTAAATGTAAAAGTCCAAGTTATAATATGTCGTAATAATGTGCCGTTAGAAAGACTCAGCTCTTGAGAACGTGAAGAAATATACATAGTCGGGTCACTTGCAGTTGCGTTATTTGAGGCGGAACAAGCAAAACGATTGATACACATGCCTTACAGTCCAGACTCAGTCTCTTCAAATTTCTATAAAGCTTTTACCAATTGGCTGAATAGCTGGCTGGGCATCGTAGTCACACGAAACGTGGCCACGTTTGGATCACCCTTTTTTTTGGAGGCTTCAACAATTTTAATGCGTTGTGCGGTTCTTGAGCAATCCATTTTCATAAATGCCTGACTTTGAACTTAAACAAAACATGTTTGGTGTGACAGTTATGTTTGACAGTTGCCAAAATATAACCCTGTACTTTTGAAACCACGAAATGGATGACTCTGCATAAAACTTTTATTTGGGATTTTGATTTTCTTTCGAATTTTCCTTTTTTCTGCACTCAAAAATATTTTTTAAGTAATTAAATTAATTAATTGAGAGATATGCGTGTATATGCATATATTGTTTCATATAAATATTGAGTGTTCACATATTGCTTTGTACTAAGATATCCGTGTACATTATAAATATTGCATACATACAAACATATACATATGTATATGTATGGTTATTAGAATTTTTGACACTTAAAATAATTTTATAAATATTTTATTCTGCCATTTTCCATATTTCTATGAATGCACATACATATATACCTGTATATGTATATCTCTAAGTGTGTACATATTTATACATTTATAAATATATAATATAAGGCTGTATATTAATTATTTGAAGAGCTCTCTCATCACTAGTCATAAACTTATAATTCTTAAGAATCTTATATGTAAAAAGATTATTTAAATTCAATTTAAAAAAATTAAAAAAATTACACTTTAGCACAACGAAAAATCTAAATAAAATGCAGACAAAATATTTGGACTATTTTTATTTTTTTTATTCCTATTTTTTATAAGATCGTAAAAGCAGTGTCCTTCGGGGGTAATATTTCCATAGAATTACAAAACAAATTTATTCATTATAAAATCATCATCCCTAAAATTATCATATGAGACTGATTATACCACTGTGATTGTGGCGACCTTGAAATTCTCTTTCCCTTCTCCCGGCATCCTTCTCCTCTCCATTGATATATTTGCCATCGCTCTAGCTTGTTTAGTTCGCCTGCTGTGTCGTGTTGAGCAAACTTGTGTTCGTGGTGCTCGTCACGAAATGGGAAACGAAATCAAGAAACGCGTCACTATAAAACTTTCAGTTGCTTGATCGAGTTAGTATAGACGATGAGAGCGCGTTTTTCAATACTACACGAAAACCAAACGCCAAAGTTCACAATGGTTGTCTCCGCACGCCCTCGGCCCCAAAAAAGCTTGCATGAGCAAGTGGAAGGTGAATTGCCCTTTTTAGATAGCCGTGGAATCGTCCACAAAGAATTTCTTCCTCCGGGGCATACCAAAAATCAAGTCAACTATCGCCAAGTATTGCGAAAAACGAGTCAACAAGGAGCGCCCAGACATCGCTCGTAACTGGATCCTTCATACCGACAACGCGCCGTGCCCACCGCCCTCAGTGGTACCAGTATTAGGCCTCTAAAGGGATCGACGTGTTGCAATATGTCACCCCGTGACTTTGTTTTGTTCCCTAGAAAAAAATTGATGGTCAAAGGAACTCAGTTAGAGTCGATTGAGGACACCCAGCCGGCCGTGACGAGGGTACTCACGAACATCCCAGTCGAAGCGTTACAGAAATGTTACGTAGCATGGAAAACGCGTTAGAACCGTTGTATAGCTGCCCAAGGAGACTACTTTAAAGGGAATGGCAGAGTTGTAGAATAATTTTGAAATATACGGTTTTTATGGAATCGGTCTCAGTGCTTAATTGTCACACCTACATTACAGCATTTCCGAAACCCGCGAATTGCTCAATCTGTTTTTGACCACTCAAAGCCAACCGCAAAAAGCCAATATCCCTGCTTCCCCCAGCTGTGGGAATGATTGAAGCCTTCCTACTTCCATCCTTTATATACCATCTAAGCCCAGCAGCATGTCATGCATGGCTTTCGTAAAGTGCACCGTACCGCAGAGGCGCTTAATGACATCAACACCCAGTTAGTTCAATAGTTCAAGGCGTCAACCAAGGCCGGCACTGTGAATGAATCACCGGGGTAGCACTGGATTTGCTACCGCCCACAAATCAGTGATACTATCGGATAATGAAGATATTCTCATTGCAGCCCGGGTTAAAGCAGCGGACTATGAACTGCCTGAGTGGCTGAGAGTCATCGTTACAGTTTGGGGTCATACTTCTATACTCCTTAAATCCAGATGAATTAAAAAGGGATACCGCAAGTTGGGGTCCTATCTCCCCTTCAGTTAAACTTTCACATTTCGAAGCTTCCTTGTCCAACAAGCGGCGTTTCTTTCATCTCATATGCCTTCGTCTGCTTGATATTGGCCTAGAATGCTCGGCCAGCTTTTTCACCTGCTGGTCAAAGGAATACCAGCTTTCCGATATCTACGATTTTCGAATAACAGAATACAAAATTTGGCTCCTACAAATGACAGTGTACCTAGTTTGCCTGAAGTGTTTCAAAAAACTGAAGGACTATTGTGCGTACAAACAGGCAGACTAAAGGACATGACTAAATCAACTCCTGTTAACTGCTAAACTAAACGGGCTTAGGTCGTCAAAATCACTACCTGGGAATGGTATTCCCGGAGTCACACGAAGAGTTCGAGCTGCCTCGAGAGTTTCGCTTAATAATGGCACAACTCAGCACTGGATGTTGTAGTCGTCTAAAG